ATTTATCTGTTTAGAAACTTTTATACTGTTCAGGGTAGCGTCATTGACAATGAATGAAAAAGCTTTAAATAATAATAGTAGCTATAATAGTAGGATAGCATAACCATTGACAATGAATACAACTGCTATTACTATCTGAAATTTAAAACTCAGTCAATATGATCCTTACCATGTTATTTCCATGAAGTAGAGACACTCCATTTTCATTGATAGCTAACCAAACATTCCCAGTCTTGTGTGTTAGTGTCCCATATTGATCTTTACAAAAGAAAAGTGTAGAGCCAAACAGATCCCACGTGTCAGCTAACAGTGTCAGTAACATTCTAGAGCAAGACTGACGACTGATATTATGATATCCTTTCCATTTCTGTAATAAACGGCTACTCAGTAGCTCCATGTCATGTGGCAGTATGTTCATTGTGAATTTACGACAACAAAACCTCCTCACTGCATCTTTAGCAATGTCTTGTGCATTAGTGAGGGAACTACAATCACCATAATCAATCTATTGATTAATAATAATGATAATAAACACAAACACAAAACACTTCTTGATTGCTTCAAGTGGAACAACATAAAAATCTTTTTTCAACGAAATTTGTTATTATTATTATAGTATTATGTACCTGTGCCATTCTTGCTGTAATATCAAGAGCAATATCAAGTGAAGGAACAAGATAATAATCATTGAGTACATCTTTACTATACTAAAAACAAACACCAATAAAACACAAGCACTCATAATATGTACTGTGTACCTGATAGGCTAATAATATAACCTCTCTATCTGTTTCTTGGCCACGCCTTGTTTTAAATGAGAGGCGGTTACGATACGTGAGGCGAATGGTCCGAGCATGAGTTGATGAACTACCCAGTTCAGTCATACTGTCACTCCACATTGATATGACATCCATTAGTTTGCTGTTTGGGAATAAATAGAATATGTCCATTCCTTCTTCACCTGGCCAGTCACTCATCAGTGAGAAACCAGTAGTACACACACTCTCCATCCCTAGCTCTTGGTTCAACTGGGACACTAACTCTTGTACTGTGGTAGAGGAGTCAGCATCTACTGTCTATAACAATTGAATGAAAAAAAAATCAATTTTGATTATAAAATGAACAAATACATTTACATCAATTTTTAACAAAATACCCTGTACTATATAGTATGATACTGAGCAGTAAGCACTACGTTAAAACCCTGTAAAAACCCTGTATAAATGTACATGTACAAGTACATGACTGAATTGTGACACTTTATTATCTTATATGTACATTGACCAGAGTACTAACCACTGATGTATCATTCAGTAAGTGTATGTGTATTCCCAGTTTCATCTGCATCACACAAGTAAGGTGAATAGGGCGTGACATCAAGGAGTGTAGTTCCCACCATGATGCTTTCTTCTCTCTCAGGCCATTCTTCTCAGTCCGTGCTAGTCTTGTATCACAAAGACCAATCAGTTGTCCTATTATTGTAGGCTGTGACCCAAAATGACTCTGTTGACGAGTTATGAAAGCCTTCAAATACCAACTGAAGAGTTTTCTTCTTGGTTGAATGTGTGGTATCAGTAAACAGAGCAAGAACCAGCTCTGCATGACAATATGGCTGCTCTGTAGACTTGAAGGAGCTGATATTTGACGGAGTATTTGACAGTAGAGCTCATCGTGAAGAGCAGTCTCTGGTAGGCACCGACTGACAATTTGCTGAAGAGATACAATGTGATAGTCAAGAGCAAGTGGATCAAATGGAGTTGCAACAAACAACTGAAGACTCTAGAATATCAAAGACAAAATAAAAAAGCAAAAATTAAATCTACAACTGTTTAAATATTAAAAGAATTTGCACAATTATATTCAAAAAAATTTCAATTTTTCATAAGCATAATGATATTACATGTACATGACATCCAAATTTACGATTACAATTACAGATATATGTATCATTAATTTTAATGAAAAAGTTGTCCGTTTTTACTTTAAATAATTGAACAGCCTCTAAAGTGAGTGTGGTTGATGGTAAGGATACTAATGGCTCCTGGATATTCTCAGTTGTATAGTTAAGGACTGGATTACACCATAATGTGGTTGCTGTATAATAAATAAATAAATAAATAAATAAAATTAATAATAGCAATAATATGCTATTTACCAGATGCTAGTTCTTCTTTCTTTGTTCTATAAAGACGTGCTACAACTTTCTCTGTTAAAGTGAGTTCAGGACCAGTTTCACCTGATGATGCAGACACTAAGTGATAGAACCATTTATCCTATTGAAGGGAAAGAGAAATAAAAATAAAATAGATTAGAAAAAAAAGAGATGAAGAAATTAAAGAGAAGGATAATAAAGAGAAGGATGTGGAGACAAAGAGAAAGAGAAATCATAAGATTACTGTAGGGTGCCTTTTTTAGAGCTACATGTATATATTTTGTGGATTTTGTTGCTATTCGCGAAAATAAATTCCTCAAATTAATTGTATGGGCGTGAAAAATTTGAATTGGGAATGAAAATTGTGAAATTTACTACAGCGAATTATATATTCACTAAAATTTATAGCCCTAAAAAAGGCACCCTACAGTATGGAGAATGAAGACAGAAAAGGAAGTTGACCGGCACTGAGCCCTCACTCACCATATCATCTTTATCTGAAAAGGACAATGAGATTGTCTCTGGTTCATTGCTCGCGTTAGTTGGATCAGATAACTCAACTACTATAGTGAACTCATCTTTGATATGACAGAATGATGGGCGTGACCTGAAACCAGGTGCATCGGTACAGTGACGAACCATAGCATCAACTAGTGTGAAGGACTGCAAGGGATCAGTGTCAGGGTCTTGATACAGTATCAGCGACTGATTCAATAATGCAATCCACATCTTTTGATGACCTTGACTCCATGAGGATAATTTCTAATTTATAATAAGAAAGTACATGTACATGTACATGTATTGAGAAAAATCTGAAGTAATAACGAAATGATAAACATGACCTACGTGTGTATGTCAGTGTTACCCACAAAGCATGCCAAGTGAGCTAAACAACACGCTTAACTGCTACAATAATATGTACAAAGGAACAACTTTAAAAATTTATAAAAACCCAATTTTAATTAGAATCAAGTCAAACTTTCTATACACTACATAAGTATATACAGTATAGTGGGAAATTTTGGAAGGGATTAAATTTGGCGAATTTGGCATTTTAATAGCCATTTGCCAAAATAAAAATCCACCATTTTGAGCCATTATACGCATGCTCAATGGCACATGGCCACAAATTTGCCAAATTAAAATTCACCAATCACCAAAATTTAGCAATTCGCCAAATTTTAGCCCCTCCAAAATTTCCCACTATACGGTATTTGCATCAGAAAAAATTATAAAAATCTCCTTCAGAGGCTGAGCACTATGCCAAAATCCTGTGGGGAAACATTGCAAATGTATAAATGTATTGATCATCAACACGGGTTATATTTACTTTCTCCTCCAGATATAACAACAATACATGTAACTAACTGAAAATGAATGATAGTGCTGGTCAAAATAATCATAGGAATAGCTAAGGGTATCCACCTCAACCAAAAATAAAAAAAGACTTTATATACATGTACATGTATGTGTATAGTAACACATAATGACATAGCCCATCACAGTAATAGGCCACTCATCGATTACATGTGCCATTGTTTTAGGTCAAAAGTTAGTCACACCAGAAAATATAAATAAGTCAATTTTTACACTAATACAATTGTAAAGTGAATGTTCTATGACATACATGTACATGTAAGCACAAAAGATATCAAAAAATTTTTGTATTCATTATTTGAAAATTATGGACTACATATTATTAATAGTAAGGTTCATTGCAGATACGTGTACTTGTAGAATGCAGTAATAGTACATGGCCTTTAACCAGCTAATTGTGATATTAATGCACATTAATACCAGTAACAATACTGTATATATAATACCAAGGATAATACACATGTACAAGTACATGTACACACACATAATCCATGCACTCACCACTTTGGCCCAGTTTGCTGGTATGTCTTTAGTAGCTGGTGATGACATATTGTTCTGACACATTCTCATTACAGACTCCAGTGCTATTAATGTACATACATCATGTTATCAGGGATATAATAGACTAACGTAACCGGGATTGGCAACGGGATCACGTGAGCGCATCATTTGTGTATAAAAACTTTTTGCAGTCTCTGTTATGATTTTCAAGATGGCGGCTGTCAATGTCTGGAGTATGAAGTTGCTCTTTTCTCTTTTAAAGATGTATTTAGCTTTCTGAAAAATCTACTGCAAAGTTATAATGGCGGCTTCAAGATTCTGATAGGTTATTGTAAGTCAATATTTGTTTTAAATGGTTTAAATCTTCAATTTACGGCTAAAATTCCATTTGCGTACCTCTGTAGCCCAAATATTTGTTTCAATGAATTTGTTTTTGTCATGAAATGTTGCTACTTACTTTATTACATTGTTTAGGCAACTTCTCTTGTTTCTCCAGAGTGTTCTTCATGAATTATTCAAGAATTAAAACCAGTTTGCCATGGTATGACTTTTGCGTACCTCTCAGGAGAATAGACTACATTCTATTGCTATGAAACTACAATAAGGAGACCCTTTACATGTTTTTACATTGTTTAAAGTTGTTTTTGAATTTTCCCTGTTGCTGGTTTTTTAGTTATAACAATTTACATTCAGCCATTTTGCTAAGATGCCATTGATTGCTGCCATTAATTTAATGAATAATAACAGAGTCTGATAATTGATTTCCGGTCCGTAACCAATCCCGGTTACGTTAGTCTATTATATCCCTGATGTTATAAAGCTACAATGTACATACATGTATGTATAGTAAGAACATACCTTTAATCCAGTCTTCACAATCAGCTCCACTGTCAGCCACAAAGTGATAGGTCCTGGTAGGTGTAGCCAACTACATGCATTATATACAAAAGCATCAATATTCAATTAATACATTTTACTAACAAATTGCATAAGCTATAGTTTTTGCTGTCTGGTTATAATGTTATTTTTGTGCTTGCCTTAAATTCAAAAAATTTAAACCACCTTCAATGTCATTTTAATGTGCATATATAGACCAAGGCCAAAACAAAAAATTCAAAACACTCAAAAATTTTAATGTATACACTACACAGTATTCATCATTTATAAATACAGGCACTACATGTACAAAATTTTTCATTTGACATACTTGGAATGAGCTGGTTAGCTCATGCCTTGTGACTTTACACCAAGCAGCAAGATTAATGACACCTTTGGCTCGATACGTTGCACCTTTCTGTACAGCAAGAAATAAAACAACAGCATAATTAATATAAAATTATATAAATAATAACATCAATATTTATATTTCAAGCATTAAAGCAGTCTACATGTAATTTGATGATCAGGCAATGGGGAGAATGATAAAGTTAAGACAAACAAAATTGATGCCAACAATAACTTGAAATGATAATCAACAAAATATTAGAATTTTTGTACACACAATGCTATACATGTATGCACATGTACATGTATATGTATCTCAATACAGTATTTAGGTAGATTCATATACATGTACATGTGTACATGTATTACGGTGTTATTGATTACTTTTGAATAATATTTCAATTCTTTTCCTTTCAGTATAAACCATCTTCTGGTCCAGTGCTTTAGTCTAGGATCTAACTTATGGAGGTACCCCTGCTTCTCATAACTGGTCTATAATAATAATAATAATAATAATAATAATAATAATAATAGTAATAATAATATACGTCATAATAATACACTGTGCATTGTGTGTAGTACAATTGTGTGAAAAGACAAACTTGCTTAAAATACAATATACAGTACATGTACTTGTAGTAGATAAGTTACAGATAAGTACATTAAAATAATATGTAATGTACATGTACTGTGTATATGTAGTTTATGTACATGTATATATACAATACACATGTGTAAAATGTACATGTACATGTACTGTGTGTATATTAACTGACATTATCGACAGATGATGCCGGTAGTGTTGCAGTGTATTTCTTGTTGCGTGGCATATCTTTACTGTTGCGTCCAGATGATGACGGCTCAACATAACCAATAGCAGCATCAGGTGGTATCATGTACTCATCATCACTGCTATCTGATACTGAACTCTGAGTACACTCTATTCATAATAATAATAATAAATAATAATAATATAGTAGAGATACTGTATCTACATGTATAGTAAAATAATAAAAATAATGGTGGAGTTGTATAGCGTTTCAATGACATAATAAGCAATACATACTAGACAGCAGTAATTGTCATATTTATTATGTAATAGGGATAGGCATGTAGCTGACAAAATAAATACATTATGCTCATAAAAGTACATGCACAGTTGCAAGGATAAATTTGTAATGAATAACAGGATAAAGTGAACCATTAATATCACATACATTTTGCTACTGTAGGCTTTTAGCATAATTATATGTATATGTTATACCAAGCAAGAGGTGACAATAATAATGTAATTACAAAGAGTACATTAAGAGTACTGTATACCTCCTGAGTTAGGATCTAAGGATTGCTCCTTTATATCACACATTGGTAAAGACTCCTTCCTCTCTACTAGCTTAAACTCTCCAAGAGAATAAGAGCTCAGATCATCATCATCATGATCATCATCAGAATCATAAAACTGAGGAATTAGCTGCAGAGAATGAGTCCCCTATAAAGAGAATAGGGAGAATAAAGAAATGCAGACAAAGGGACTGAATGACAACAATATAATGTACACACAAGACTAAATAACTTCCATGTGGTTAATTAATTAATATTAACATTAACTAGACGAATGTAAAACATTGAAGAGGCGTGCCTAAGCAAGCAAAGTAATGTACTATACAATAGATCTTGACAGACTAACAATACTCATGCATGACCGTGCCACTAAGCAGGCTCAGAACTTAATGAAATGCACCAATACGTCAAAATAGTATATGAGCCTTTAGCAGCACACAATGTGACACTACTCACTCTCATATCTTAAATTCAACACTTATGACCACATTATTATTAAAATCACTCATTCATTACCTTACAATTAGCTACATGTACATATGCCATTGCTTATTATGTATGTGTAAAAGAGAACTTACTCTTTTGAGTGAGAAGTATGCAGGGCTGGTTAAAGCATCATTCTCAACCGGCGGCTTCAATACTGCTGAGGTCTCTAATGGAGGGAGAGAGCTAGTGACTGGATGAAAGGGAGGAAGAGGAGGAGGAGCAGAAGAAGGAAGACTAGACCTAGCAGTACTACCATGAACGCTGTCCTTCTTGAATCGAGGTTTAGGTATCGGTTTAGGACTGGGAGAATGGGCCGGGGGGACAGAAGAGAAAGAGGAGGGAAGAGGGGGAGGGTCCCTGATCTGTATATCAACCTTATTGTGGGTCTTAGGGGGTAAAGCAGGGGCCCCTTTGCTTTGTAGTATTGGGCTACCAGGGACTGGGGATAAACCAGTCATACTAGTCCTACCGGTTTTGGCACTGTTCCCTTCAATTTGTGTGAATCTGTTGTGCAGAGATGATCTAGGGGGTGGAGATGGGGATGTCTCGGGGCTATTATAAATATCACTAAAATGAGTAGTGGTCACACGACCGTATTTTGGATCATCAAAAGGTAAAGAATGTATTGGAGATAAAGGGAATGATCGAGTTGTGCTGGACATAATATTCTTAGGGGCAGAGCTTTGTCGCTGCGGGAACGGTTTCGGTTGGTTTTCGTAATTAAGACGTGGGGTTGTCATGGGTTTAGTTTTACTCGAACCTCTGTCCTTCACTTTAAACCAGTCCTTCTTTGTCCTAGGAGGATCAGTACCTCTCAACAGTGACAGGTACTCAGCCGATTCTATCAAAGTGGATGACCTGTGAGTAGTGACAATGGAGTCAACCCTCTGTATGGCCCTCTCTGTCACCTCTTGTCCTCCCATTTTCATACTTTCTCCTCTCACTTGAGAAAGGACTGATCTGAAGTCATTGGGTGCAATGTAGTACAGGTTCTCCTCATCGACACACCCATCACTGTGTATCCGAGGTAAGCTCCCTGTCAATACGCTGCTGTCTCGCAGGCCTATTAGTTTCCTCCATGCTTGTACGTGCTGGAATGCAAAGGAGTAAGCATAAGAGCTATCAGTGGAATCAGCGCTCTCTCCTGACACGTCTAAGAGGTCACACGACATTGAACGCTTGAAGGAAACTTTGTGAGACTTTAAGTGTCTCGGACGAGAGACTTTCATCCAATCAGCGAGCTTCTCTCTTCCAGCTGTTGTAGCAGTAGCAGAGGCCTGTTGCTTCAAAGCATTCTTCTGCGATAGAGTCTGTCTATTGATCTCTTGTATATCAACAAAATCAGACTCAGAGTCATCCGAGTCCTCATCAGGATTAGCAGCACTGCCATTTTCCATTGCAATGTAATGCTTGCCATGGACCGAGTTAGGGGGAGGAGTGGGGGAGGGTTTAGGAGGGAGAGGGGGAGGGAGGGGAGGCATTGTGTGTGGTTTAGTGATAGAGCGTTTAGGAGCAGAGTGAAGAGGAGGAATAGTGGGAGGAGTTAGGGGAGAGGTACGCAATGAAGGAGAGTCTGGGAGTTCAAACAACTGAGTCAAGAAGTCCCCAGAAGGTGAGAGATTATTAAAGAGGCTTTCAGGGAGTAATTTATCAAGGAGTACTTCTAGTTTCTTGCGTCTCATGTCAGGAGTGAGGGAGGCTAGCTCGTGTATGCTGCTCCTGTTGAATACAATATCAAGATGAGAGGACGGCTCCTTCTGTGAGGCAATGGGGGAGAGTAGAGCAGTCTCGCTTGCTTCAAGTGAAGTGAATATTAGCTCAACTACTGACAGGAAATCATTCTGTGATATAACTGCATAATAAAAATACAAAATACAATGTACGTATGTAGTAGTGGAAAATGGAATAAAAGTACATGTACATGTAAACACATACCATTGAGTATACTTACATGTATATGTGTATGTAGTATACATGTACATGTATTTGTGGCAGTATACATGTACATGTAGATGCACATGATAAAATTTAAATACTTGTAACTTTAAAAGCATGTATTTATTCTTGATTGGCATAAGATACATGTAAATTTAATGATGTGAATCATTGCTATGGAATTTACTTTAAATTTGTCATAAAAAATGCTACAGTAAATATCATAACTATGTTTATACTAATACACACAATGTGTACCTAGTTAACTAAAACAACAATTGAACAATATAATAACACATACCGTATAGCAGGATATTTTCGTGGAGTCTTATTTTCGTGTTTTTCGTGTCCAAGACACTTTCACGAAAATTTAACGCACAAAAATTTAGCACATATTCGGTATAGGCGTGTCCCGCTGCAGTATATTGCTCGCAATGAAATGGAGAAATACTTCAATACTTCCATTGATGAAAGTACACTTGGCTTACCCTCAAAAAACAATTAAAGCTGTCAAAAGAGAGGTAGAGAAAGCTCACCAGGCTTTGCCAGAGGCTCTTATAATACAGTTATCACGAAAATTTAACCCACGAAAATCTCAACCACCCCAAATCACGAAAATTTGACCCCACGAAAATATCCCGCTATACGGTAATACAGTAACTGCATGAGCACCACTATATGTAATTCAAGCTCAGTTCCTTACCTCCAGTCTTAAATTCATAGACACACCTCATGAATGAGTTGACAGCGACTCTCAGGTCCTTCTGATTGGTCTGTATCTAACATCATAGTAACAATATGACATAAATGATCACAATTTGTAATAACAATAGCAATTATTATAGTTAGGACAAAATCACAATCATAATCAAACAACCTGTAAATATGTAGGACATAAAAATGGCTTAATAGTATACGTGTAGCTCTCTTTGTCTTAGGAAACTACAAAAGGACAAAAAGGCTGCCAATGTTTTAAAGAAAGCATAAAGAAGAAGCTCAGAGTGTTAATAAGGATGATAGTAGAGTAAACAGTAAACAAGAGGCAGAATAATCAGTATATACAACAATAGATAACCGTAATGTGCACACACAACTCAATCAGCCATCCATAAAATGAAAATAATAATAATAAAAATGACGACGATAATAATAATAAAAACAATAACTGCCTTAATCACAAGCCAAAAAGATACAAATACATTATTTATTCAATAAAAATAATAATTAGCCACATAAATTTACCATTTTGCATGAAAGCTTCCTATATTACCAGGGCTATGTACATGTGTAAGTTAACAAGGCCATGAAGTAATGCACATACATGTGTAATCTTGAGGCAATTATGTTATCAGTAGCATGTCAGTAACAATGTTATTAGCAAAAGGCAAAACTGTCACTATCAGTGCTATTTATTAATATTGGCAGAGTGAGTAAATATTATCCTGATCATTAGTTTATTGGTATGCCCATTATGTAACAATGCATAATACTGCCATGTGTGTATAGTAATCTGTCCATATACAATGTATGAGTGATCTTTAGACACACAAGTTCATTAGTGTACATGTATGCAGTACCGTATAGCGGGTAATTTTCGACTGGTGCTTATTTTCGTCTGTTTCGTTGCTATTAATTCTGAACGAAAATTAATTCTGATGAAAATTAATTCTGAAGATAGGCGTGACCATAATAAATTATTAATAACATGATAACAAGCATGGATGGCCTTGAAAACGGTGTTCACCTTCTAAAGAATCTCTTCCAGACCCTACAGGACCAGGGGACCTCTTTCTAATGCTATCAGTCCTACAGATGCTAGTGAAGACATCAGATCAATTATTTTTGTCTAGTCGAAAATAAAACCAACGAATTTTTATTCTAAAGCCATTTCTGGTTTCAGTCGAAATTTTCAACCACCGAAAATAACCCGCTATACGGTATACCCACAATATTAGGAGTAAATGTATATGCTCAGAATGACCAATAACACTGTAATGTACTACCAGGAGTGTATATAGCTTTAGAGACATGAATTTGTGTACTTAATGCAACTATTAGTTACTGTCTTACCTTTCCAAATTCTTTAGTTAGTATCTTGTGTATTTCATTGAGCTTGTCTCTAGCTGTATCAAGTGCCAGTGATAAATCCTCTCTCATTGATTTCTACAGACAATTAGCACAAACAAGAGTCAATTAATCCACTGGACAATTAGTGACTTTACCTCTTTAGCAATCTCATCAATGAGAGACAGGACGTGATCATGCTGGGAGCTGCGCTGTCTCAACACATCATCGAGTTTCAGTTGCAAGTTTGAAACCTACACATGCATAGAGGAGACACAAATTAACAACATCAAGTATGTGGTATGTGCACAACATACATAAACACATTCACATTCTACATGAAACATGATCAGCATACAGTATAGATTATACAGAGTAGCTTTTTTACATTATTAAAAAAACTGTGTGAGAGTAGAAATGACAAATATCACTCATTTACTCACTGGCTGCTACAGCACAGTGTATAGGATAGAGGGCATGAGTATAAAGGAAATGTTTGTTAAACACTACGCGATAATAAGACTTCATTAAATGACAGCAAACAGTTATATCAATGATAACAGGCCAATGAAGTGACTACAACAACAATACACATATATATATATATACACACACACTCTCTATCACTAAACTATACAGTGAAAGTCTACAAGTATTGTTATGACAGGGTCTAATGTCAAACACACACAAGTAGTTAAAATAGCCGACAAACAGAAAATATACTATCACTGGGTCATCACTGGATAAACTGAGCAACAGGCAAGACAAACATTGAGAGAGGGAGAGAGAGAGAGAGAGGAGAGGAAGAAGGGGAAAGAGTGAGGGAATGTAACACACCTCGACTTCAGCAGTAAGAGCTCTAATGTGCATCTCTTCATATTGCTTACGATACTGGTCCAACTAAATGAGGGACAGAGAGAGAGAAAGATATATATAGCATGAACAAAAAAGAGAGAGTCAAGACAAGATATATTTATTATACACAAGTACATGAACATACAAAATTAAATCAAATCATTCAGCAGTGATTGTGCAGGAACAAATGGAAGAAAAATAATAGATCCATTGGTTACAAAAATTAGAATACGTGCAAGGGCCCTCACTTTCTTGGTCACTTCTTCTCTGACGTGCTTCACTTTAGCCGTCGTCTCTAACAAGTGCGATTCCTTATCAGGGTGTAACTGAGACGCCATATCACTAGTCCTCTCCTTTGCGTCCAATGAGGCAATGAAAGAGTGGAGAGGATACAGGGGACGAATGAGTCGAGCTCTATTTTACAAACAGCTATGACAGTTTACTATCTCTCTTTATATGGACATGAAGCCAGAATTTTTCATGGTTTATAAAGTAACAGGTGCCTGGTGGGAGGAGAATGTCTGAATGAGATCAGATGGCAGCATAGATTATATGATGGCAATCGTGGCAAAGATCATTCTGAACTGAAGAATGATGAATGCTCTGTTGTTAGAGGAAATATTAGAAAAAGAGGATATAATCAAGTTACATAAAATTCATATTTTTACTGGAGAAGTAAGAAGTTAAATTAAGATAATAAAATTATTTTAAAAATATACATATATAATAGGATTTTATCAGGAGTTCTCCATTATGTGTGATGGGCTGCTTAAAGTGCACTCATACTCAGTATGATAACATACTGTCAGTCTTCAGTCATTGGCTCGCACCAAATCATCAAACGGTAATACACACACACACACACGATATTGTATATGTATATATAACCACAAAGCATGCTTTAATGAGTTGACTAGTATAAACCAACTTTAAAAATTTATTTTAAAAATCTAAATTTCATCAGAATCAGCTTAAACTTACACAGCATAAGAACAATATGTACCAGAGAAAATTATAAAAATGGAGAAATCTCTTAAAGCCATTTTTGACAAAATTTGACCAAAGACGTACCAAAGGCTACAGCTTTATTAGCCAGATTTTTTTAGCACCTTTAAACCCAATTTTTGAGCAACTTTAAAAATATTTATAAAAATATAAATTTGATTGAAATTAGCTCAAAGTTGATACACAACATAAGAACATGTATCAGAAAACGTAACAAGAATTCTATCCTTGCCATGATTAATGAAATTGAACAAAATACCAGTACGGGATTTCGAGCAACTTTAAAAATTCACTGACAAGAAGCTATGTACTATACCAAAACCCTATGTTAACTCTGACGTTAATTAACATTATACACTGGAGCTCTACATGATGGACACTTTAGACAAGAAAGTTTTTATTCAGAAGTGTCTTTATAGAGAGCCATGGAGTTTATATTATTTAGTAAGAAACAAACTTGGTGTACATGTACATGTACATGTGTGCTAGCTACTGTCCGCTATATAGAGTATTCGTTATTTTTTCTATTAAATTGGTTCTATTGTGCAATAAATAATGTTAAGAAGTCAATGAGCTAATGTGTCAATCATGGCTGAATATTAAGCCCAACTTGACTGACATGTCTTTTGCCTGTTACATACTGTATAAGGGTTTTATTTTGTTGGTATAAAATTTTGTGAATTTGTTCAGATTTGCCATTTGTTGGTACATAAATTTTCACAAATCTTACCTTCTGCAGCCATCTTTCCTAATGTGCCACACCTCTTTTGTGAGATTTAATTTTTTGAATTTAATGAAAACGCAAAATTAGCAAAATTAGTGAAGTTCATTTCCAGTGAAATATAACCCCTATACGGTAATTCAGTTTGGTAGATTTAACTATAATATGCATGTACTATAAACCAGTACATCTATTACTGTATAATACAATAGGCTCTATCACTATACTCTATATATAACGGGACTGGTCTATTGACTCACTTATCTAAAATAGACACTGCTCTATTAGGAGGACTACCAGCTGGAACCATCACTGAAGTAAGGAAGAATTGTGTATGTGCAATTTGTACATGTACATGTAGGTACGTGTATCATGTACGTGTATCATGTATGTGTGTGTGTGTGTGTTTATGTGTGCTAATATAAAAGTGTTAAGAGGTAAATTTGGTTAAATGCCCTAAAGAGTTTCATTAATAATCTGAAGATGTTCCATTATTAATAATTATGAGTCATTAATGTAATAATGGGAATGAACCTCACACATCAATTATAATGCAGACTGTCTAGTGTCATTTCCTATTATGCATCACTAATTCTCTCTATATGGAGCTATAAGTCTATAACTATTCAATGTATGTATACCACCTGGTACTGTACATTAAATGCAGCATGATGCATCAAATTGATTTCCTCTGAATTTATTGCATGACTAGTTAAGTAAAACATGCTGAGAGTAAGATGAACTAGCAGTAAACATTATTATTAGCAACAGTATATAGCAGTGAACTATTCATTACTATTAGATATCTGGTCCTTCTGGTAGTGGCAAGACTCAGTTTTGTCTCATGTTAGCTGTCATTAGTTCCTTACCAACAAGAAGAGGTGGCCTTGGGAAGGGAGTTAGTTTTATTGATACTAACTGTAGTTTCTCTGCTAAACGGTACGTATCACTCTCCTCCCCCCTCTCTCTCTCTCTTTTACTTTGTTTATACTGCATCTCTCTCCCTTCTCTTTTTTGGCTTATTATCACAATCACATACATGTACTTCCTGTCATGCTTGTTCACTCTTTCTCTTAATCTCTCTCTCTACCTTCAGATTGATCAGTATAGCTGAGAATTGGTTACAGTCCAGATCAATCTCGAGGACATTAAGTGACTCTATCAAACAATTAGCTGATAAAATAAAGATATACACTGAACTGACCTGCACTGGATTAGAAAAAAGGTTCAATTAATTTTACAGTAAATAATAATTGTTAAAAGCACCCAACATTTATATCATTTGAGGGTTATTTTTTGCTACAGCCAGACATTGCATGTGTATACACAATACACGAGTATTTAGATGAAAAACAGGTCTTCTAGTACATACAAGTATATACATGAACCAAAAATAAGTAGACGGAGTTTGAGGAGACGATTTTCATGTATTTATATTAATTATTAATAATTAAAGGGTGTGTCCACATAGCAGTCAAAATGGCAGTTAGTTTGCTTAACCACGGATCTTTGATGGTCTTTTTAGTCCTTCTAGCTATAGCAGATGATGAAAACAGCAATAGAAAAGGTGATGAAGACATTAGCCTTTCAATGATTCAACATTTAAGTACAGGATACATGAAAAATAAACGAAAAATCACCAAAATATAGATGAATTTGGGAAGCAATAAGTAGATGTACATACACGAAAATTTGCCAATGAATACAAGTACATACAAGACCTGTTTTTTCAAAATACAAGTAAATAGAAGTATACGAAAATTCCAGTAGACGTGCAACGTCTGGCTACAGCACATTTTTTATGGCACAGCAATCTGCTAATTATCAAAGAATTTTAAATAAAAGCCCTTTTATGTAATTGAATTACATGTAACTTTAAATGGGATACATACATGTACATGTACATGTATGTACACGTACATGCATATACAGTATTATTTTTGTGTATTATATCAATGATAAAATCAATATTATTTTAGGATAAATGCATTAACAAGTGCTGCTGCTACTGGTGAAACTGCTGATGGTGATATTATAATAATAGATTCGTTGGCTGGTTTAGTACGGAAGGAATACGATATAAGGACTGTTAAAGGAGTGTCTGATAGATACCAGTTCCTGTCACAAATGTCAAGCAAACTAAAGTACCGTATAGCAGGTTTTTTCGAGGATAACAAATTTCGCGAATTTCGCGGATTTTTTCATGATTTACGAAATTAAATTCCTTGAAAATCAATTTAATACGGTACAAGATGGCAGATTAGGGGAAATTCGCGAAAATTAATTCCGCAAACTTCCAGATATGGGTCATTCGCAAAATTTATTATTCTTGAAAAAAACCCGCTATACGGTATGACACCATACATTATTGCCATTATTTTCTAGAGTTTGTGTGAATAGTTTTAAATTAAGGCAATGAGAAATCTCATTGTATTGTATTGCATTAAAGTGTAATGGATAAATTCACTTTCATTTTTCTTGTTTCTCTTATTTTAGAGCTTATGCTGAAGAGAAAAGAATACCAGTAAGAGTAATAAGTAATATACATGTACGTGTATATACATGTACATGTATACATGTAGTTATTTCTTGCATACTGTATGTATATATGTGATTTGAAAGGTTATCGTAACTAGTCAAGTCAGTACGCAGTTTTCTTCATCAGCTGCAAGAGGTCAGCCATCAATATTAACATCACTTGGTATATCGTGGACACACTGCGTGGACACTAGACTATTTATTGAGTTCTATAAAGACAGTAATAAAAGAAAAGTAAAATAATGATAGATCTATAGTCAATTGTTTTATTTATTGTAGCTGAGTATAGCTAAGAGTCCTACTGGTGGATTAATCAGTGTGATTGTTAGGATTGAGAAGAAAGGATTAATTCTTGACTATCATGAAACAAGTATTCACTTCATGCATGTACTTGTAATATTCTGCTTTCTGTTTCTGATCCTTCTCTTTCTCTCTTGTCCTTTTCTTTCTATGCACTGTATATTCATCCCACTTTTACATCTTCTCTTTGATTTAGATCTACATAAATTAACTTTGCTGTCTCTCTTTCTCTCTCCAGATCAATTGGATCATCAGATATCAGGAGATTCTAATTCATATTCGATGACAGTCAAGGATCAAACAGACAGATACACACACAGAGTAGCATTAAGAGAGTGAGAGACGAGGATAAGTATTTCTGAAGTGCTTTTGTCTTTTTAAAATTTAGAAATAAAAATTTCATTTTATTTTAAAACTTTAATTCTTTTTTTAATTTTTTTAAAGCCGACCACGTGTCAGGTTGAGCTTGAATAGACCATAGATAGTGAATAGACTGAATAAGTGACTAGTGATACTGAGTCAAGCCGAGTCCTCCTCGAGTCTCAACCAAAGATATACTAGCAGTGATTTGACCCTATGGCCCTCTCCTTTTTCTCTAGTACTCGGTCTTTGTTCTCTCCTTTAATCTCCAGGAGCATCACAGTCTCGTGTCCTCTCTATTTCAAGAAGCCTCTTCTGGGGAATAGTAAACCTCCAAAACGGCCTCCGTAAGTCTACGAGTGCTAGCCACACTCCCAATGATTCAAGAGTCTCCCGAGACTCGTTATGTCTTATGTGTGCATCTGTATTAGAATACACAGCCAGTAGTTGAAATCTGAATCAGGATTGATGCTAGCCTGTATCAGTCCTGAAATCAGTACCAGATCATGCATTTTGGACAATCAGTTATGATACAATCATGAAATCAATTGCGACACTATCATGTAAAGGTTTTGCACTGGTTTGGGCCAAAGTATCAAGCATGATCAGCAATGATACTTGTCAGGACTGTACCAGCACTGATATCAGACTTGATTTGTTCATTTTGGGCATTATTGCTGATTCAGGCATGATTACTATTGGCTGTGTAGTTATGTTGCAATACTTGTTAGTGTTCCTGTTGTGTGTTATTGATACCATAGATCCGGAAATTTTCATTTTAAAAATAATTGTGAAATTTTTCAAGGTGCTTTATTTTCGTTGGTTGACACATTCATGAAATTTTTTAGCACCGTCACAAAATTTTGGATGCGTCAGGCAGGCCTGGGGTAATAGTAATATGTAATAGTAACGATTACAGGGCACCAGGAAGTAATAGTAATAGTAATAGTAATAATGGTCAAAGTAATATGTAATCTCAATATTACATAGCTATTACTTGCAGTGTTACACTAATAAGTAACAATAGGAAAATAGCATGTTAGCCAGGAACTATTGCTCAGTACTGAGACTTTTTATCATAAATATAACAAAGCATTCTTAATTAGAAACTATAAAATGGCTTAGATTAACTTCAAAATTAGATTATTTTTATCAGTAACCTATTAAAATCTATGGCGTATTGTAATAGTAATTGTAATAGTAATATGCTTTGTTGTAATAGTAATAGTAATAGATTACTTTGAAAAAAAGGCTGTAATAGTAATAGTAATATAATAGTTAAAATTTTCAAGTAATAGTAATAGTAATAGATTATTACATTTAATTGTAATTGACCCCAGGCCTGGCGTCAGGCTACTAACTCTTGATACTGCAGCATTAACGATGGACACTTGTTTGATGGAAGTTGCTTGCGACAGCACTGAAACTGACAAGGAGCCTTTTGGGCGAGAGCTTTGGGCTTTTAGAAGAGCCTCGTATATGTACTCACTGCTGCATGTTAGAATAATTTCAGTAATCTTATTATTTGCTGTAGAAAAATTTGTGTGTCAAAATTTTGTGGGTCACTTCAACCACGAAAATATTTTAACGACAAAAATTTCCCGATTTATGGTAATTGATCAGGTGAAGCTCCTCCTCAAAGTCATTTATTCATTTGATAGGTCTTCATTCTCTTTATTTGTGAAAGATAAATGGGGCGAGTCAAATAATGCAGTCAGTTCTACTGAACGTATGAAGGAGCTTACTAAAATATGGTTAGGAATGACGGCTGAAGAACAGAAAGTAATGATGAGCTTTGCATTTTTTCATTAAACTTTTTTTGCTTTTTTTTCTCCAGTCCTACAAAGAATTGTATAAAAAGCTACAAGAGCAGTATTTGCAAAAGAGAGAAGATTTTTTTGGCAAATTTACAGAGAAAGAGATTTTGGCATACAAGAAGAATTTGGAAAAGTACAAGAAGAAGATAGAAAAGAGTAAAGAGAAACGCAAGGCCATAGAAGAAGGCACTTATGTAAGATGAATACAAGTTCTCTTCTTGTAATCTCATGATATTGCATCTATATAGGATCCTCCACCTGGAAGGACCCTTACTGGCTATAATCTCTTTATTGCTGAGCAAACATCTGCTCCATTAATTGGCACAGAGTCTATTAAAGTAAGCATTAAACTAATCAAATAATATTCAATTCTCAAAAAGGTATTGCAATAGCTATGGTACCCACCAATCATAACTTGCCTATTGTACTTTTGTGGCCATCTTAAGATTCTCAGGAGCCATCAATCATCTTTTGTTAATCCTTTATTCTTTAGGAGAGAATGACTGGTGTTGCTGCAAAATGGAAGTCATTGAGTAATGAAGAAAAGCTAGTAATGTTCACTGTACTTATGCATAGTAAAATAGTTCATTGCAGGCTTATAAAGAAGAGGCTGCTGCAGTGACACAGAAAAGAATAGAGGAATATTGTGAGCGACATCCAGAGTACATTCAAGTGCTGGAAGCACAGAGGGAAAATAAAACTGTAAAGAAGAGCTCAAGTGTAGCTTAGACTGCAATATGATCAACTGTATTATAATTGATTTTGTTAATAGTTATTGTGTTTCAACATTAATGATTCCGGACACTTTTGTTTTTGTTCTATATTTTAAGACAGCAATCAATCAGTAATTATTGTTAGGTTTATTATAATTTTGTTAAGCAAAGCAAACTTTCAGGGTTATGTTAAAAACTTGATGTGACAATCCAATTATGTTCAGTATCATTAGAACCTACATGTAAAGTTTTAAACATCATTGTTGCAGTTGACAAATTAGCACCTCAGCAAGACAGAAAATTGGTCTACCTACAGTAATGTTTATTACTTTTATGCTCCTGTTGGAAGAAGAGAAAGTTTAGACTTAAGTATTCCAAACTCAAAATTATTTTGAAGTTTAATATACACATGGGCATCTGAAACAAACAGATCATTTTCTTAAACTGATCCTCTCCATCTCTTTTCACACTGTCTCTTTTCATTACATGTATCTCTTTCATGTCTATTGAATTCTAATTGATATTCAATGACAGTCAAAGATCAAACACACACACACACACACAGAGTAACATTAAGAGAGTGAAAGACGAGGATCCTCTTTAAGTCTTCTTTCTAATTCCAAGTATTTCTGAGGTGCTGTTGTCTTGTGTCTATAAATTTAAAAGAGAATGAGAGAAGGAGGGAGAGAAGAAATGTACAAGTAGAAGGTTCATGTATCTGATACTTTTCAATAAGTATGCATTGACATACACAATTACACATAATGAATGATGACATAATAGTTTATATGTACACTGATGTACATGCATACAATACATGTACTGTATAGACACATAGACATTATGTTCAATACCTGTTCAGTCTTTGTTCCAGTATATGTATCCTGTACATTGCTTCACCACAATAGCTCACATATTCCACTTCTTCATCTTTAGTGATTGATGACTGCTTCTGCTTATACCATAACTGCTTCTTTTGCAAATCATCAGTTTCCTTTACAAGATAAAGATACTCATAACTACCTGTACTTATACATGTACTCTACATGAAGTTTGCAATCCACTATGTATTATGGTTTGATTTACATGTAGATCTGTCTAGAAATTTTTCAGGTTAATTTTTATGAGCATACTGTAGTATTGTACATCAGTAATTTCCACAAAGCATTCTGAGTGAAATATAAAGCATGAGCCTCATGAGTTGACAAGCACTACAATACAGTACATGTACAGGGTACTTGGCCCATTTTGAGCAACTTTAAAAAGTCACAAAAAATTAATTTGATTGAAATCAGCTCAAAGTTCATGCACAACATAAGGACATGTACATGTATATGTATAAGAAAATGAAAATTTCTCTTCTTGTCATTGTTGTCAAAATTCCCAGTATATACATGTAGGGTTGACAATCCACTGGCAAGAAGCTGCATGAGCATTACATGTACATGTACATGTACATGCATGCCAAAATCCTGTGGTAAAAGCTGACGTGTACATTTAGTACATGCATGTTCATGTACAGTATCATTATGCTCTTCCAGTTTATTATTCATTTGATTGTAGCATCATCAAAATTACTCATGTGCCTTCATGTACATGTACATGTACATGTCTACATGTAATAAGACCCCTACAGTATCATATAATACCCTACACAAGTATACGCATACATTTGTACATGTACATGTAATTATTCTTACTCTCTCGAAGTGTGATTGTATTATATTAGCGACGTCAACTAGTCTCTTCTTCATGTCACTCAGGCACTCCTCAGTGACCTTCTTCTTCTGCTCCTTTGTGAGTGTGGGTGGGTCACCGTGACGAGCTAAAAATGGAGCAAGATAGTCTTTCTCTTTCTCCTGTCTTATCCTCTCCTCCTCCATTTGCTTCCTTTCCTAATAATAAAAGCAAGAGTACATAAAAGTATATGCAAAAAGCATCTTAAAAAATTTGCAATAAATCCAAATTTGATTGAACTTGTAAGTACACATGTATACATGCATTATACATATTACATGTACATCAGGAAATACATGTACATGTACATGTATAACAAAAATAAAGAATTCTTTCCTAACAATCTTTGACAAGCTACATGTATAATACAGGGTGTTTGCAACTTTAAAAGTTCATAAAAAAGCTGAGCACTATGTGGAAATTAATCCTGTCACAGGATAAATGTACATGTACAAGTACATGTATTTAAGTAATAGTTTTGTGACATTACTTACTAGTTCTTGTCTGTGCTGTCTTGCAGTTTCATTCCTAGCTACATCATAGACTGATATTGTTAGTATAGCATTGAGCTCCTCTTGCATACGAGCAGAGAGTATTGACTCAGTCTATAAGGAAATACTTTTATGTAATACATCATGTACATGTACAGTGTGCTAAAAATAACTCTACATGTAAATCAGTAAAATTATAGTACGCATAATTATAAAAAATTAATGTCTTAATTCGTACTGTACATGATAATATAGATGTCCATTATTTTTAATGACAATGAAAATTTTGTATACTAGCTTAAAATTAATTTGGCAAATTAATGATATTCTGTAAATTATCATGCAATACAGATACAGTACCTCTTTTTCTGACAGTCTAACAGCAGTGACACTGTCTTCCTGAGCTTTTAGCAGTCCCTCCAACATATCATACAGCACTTTCTGCTTGGGCTCTGTCATATAAGAATCAACCTTTCATAGAGATGACGTAGAGAGGAAAAGTCATAAGGAAAATGATGACATAAATGTACATGAAATAGACTAACTATATAACATGTATACTCATTGCACTGTACATGCATGCAGACACAGCTGGGCCATGCTACATTAATATTTCCAAATTGGCATAATGTGTCTATAGAAATACAGAAGAGAGGATTACTTGGTAAGCTGATGTCATATCAGGGTTCATTGTGAGTTGCTGTGCTTGATCCCCAGTGAGGACTGGTAGATAGAATTCCCGTGATGATGGGGTTATCCTGTTATCCTCAAAATGATACACGACTTGTATCTTCCTCTCATCAAATAAGAATGTACGCTGGGCAATGTCACTGTTAGCTGGTAGGTTGGGGTCACGATGAAACTTCTCAACTATTTTCTATTAACAATACAATGTAAAAAATGTAATTGAATAATTGTTTGTTGTACACACAGTACATGTACATATTGACATCAAAAGTACTGTAAATGTACATCTACATGTATGTACTTGCATATACACATACATGTACATGTACATGTATGTGACTATGTGTTTTGTTAAATTTGTTGAATTTTACTCTACACACTTTCCACTGCATGTGCACGTACATTTATGTACAGTATAATTATAGCACTGAATTTACAAGTGTACATTTACATGTACATTTCATTGATTCATAATACCAGTATGTACATGTGCATGTACACAGTACATGTACATGTATATTCTTACATGTATATGTCTTCCTCTTTCTTTATCGGCTGGTTCAAATCTCTTAACTATTTTGTCATAGGTCACATATCGATAGTACAGCCTGTCCTCTCTCCCTTCAAAGTGTTCAGTCATTTCTGTTGGAGTGTGATCTCTAGTAGCTAATCCATCAACTCTCAAACTACAAATAGAGAAGAAGACCATAATGGTAGTACTTATTAATGATGCTACATGCATGTACATACATGTATATACATGTATTACATGTATATTAGCATGCAGTATTTGCTTACTCTGAAAAGAAGTATAAGGTTCTATAATCACACTTCAAACTCTTTGGTTCGTAAAACTTGTGCTCTGCAATAATGATATAAGTAATGAATATGTATATGTATGTGTATAATAATCATAAATGATTATTTTTAATTTTTATAATGAGAACAAACAATTACAACAACTTGAAACATTATGCTGAAACAATGTACCCTAAGTATGAAACAGTGGATAAATTAGTTCAGTTCTAAAGACTGCGCACATAGTACATCTACATACATGTACATGTAATTATACAGTATAATAGTATTGTAATCTCACACAGTAACTAATGAATGAATACCTTTAAGGTTTCTTTTCCTTCCTGGCTGGAATATGTCTACTTTCTGGCCTGTCTTTGCATTGGTTTCTCTATTAGTGAGACGGTCTTTCCTATTGGCAAACCTTTCCTTTGTCTGCAATACATTAGAACCTGCAATGAATATGTACAGTACATGTACATGTAGGTCAAAAATTAAAAATAAAATAATATGTACATGTACATGTACATGTATGTACATGTATGTGTGCATGGATATTTCTATAGGTACACAATGTACATGTACACCTAACAGCTAGTAATTTACATCAGAACTTACGTGCTGAATCTGCATATACAACTATTTTTTCCACGAGTCCATCAGCATTAAGATAAGGAGCATATTTCTCTACTTTAGCTTTGTGATAGAGAACAGTTTTCTTTCCCTTGGGACATCTTGTCTCATAATCTATTATTAATATAACAATTGCATGTACTCATTACATACAATAATATACAGTACATGTGCTTGTACCTGTAACTGTATATGTAAATTAATGTACGGAAAAGAATAATTGTTTTATTTTTTTGTATACACATACATATACATATTCAATAATTCAAAATGATACACAACTTGTATCTTCCTCTCATCAAATACAGTTTTTTGTATTGCACGTAATGATGAAGTAAGCATCAGTAATCAATTAAGGTAATTAATTAATTTATTATTATTATTATTGTTATTATTATTTATTAGTTGCGTGTTCCTCCCTAACAATGGTACTTATTTCATATCCTATATCGTCATAGCGACGTTCATTTCGTCGCCATTAGAGTTGCTACGGTTACCACAGCTAGCTGAATATATCTATAGACGAATCAGAGCAAAGACTAAACTGGAGAAACAGCAAATTATCAAGAAAGTAAGAAAATTCCAAAAAATGTCTCCGAAATCAATCCCAATTTTTGTTAGATTTTCTGATACATATTGATGTCCTTATGCTATGTAGCAAGTTTGAGCTGATTCCGACTTGAATTTTTCAAGTTACGGCCGTTTTAAAAAATGGGCCAAAATCTGAAAAAATCCCTGTACTATAGTACTATAGCCCATGGTTTTTTCCAAAAAATGGCCAAAAAATCACCCCCAATTTTTATTACATTTTCTGATACATATTGATGTACTTATGCTGTGTAGCAAGTGTGAGCTGATTCTGACTTAAATTTTTCAAGTTATGGCCATTTAAAAAAATGGGCCAAAATCTGAAAAAATCCCTGTACTATAGCCAATGGTTTTTTCAAAAAAATAGCCAAAAAATCACCCCCAATTTTTATTACATTTTCTGATACATATTGATGTCCTTATGCTGTGTAGCAAGTTTGAGCTGATTCCGACTTGAATTTTTCAAGTTTCAGCCATTTTAAAAAATGGGCCAAAATCTGAAAAAATCCCTGTACTATAGCCCATTTTTTTTTAATTTAATAATAATAAAATGAATTTGAAATAGGATCAGAAATCAGTAGTAATGAGTTTATAAGTGAAATTAGTAATAATAATAATAATAATAATCTTTATTAATATGTTAGTGACATTGAAGTCGAGCATCAGAGATTGCTACATCAATGTCACAGTCACTGGGCCTATATATTGATCTCCTTGTACCCCTTACACACCGAATTGTTGATCTATAGCTCATGGTTTTTTCCAAAAAATGGCCAAAAAATCACCCCCAATTTTTATTACATTTTAAAATACATATTGATGTCCTTATGCTGTGTAGCAAGTGTGAGCTGATTCTGACTTGAATTTTTCAAGTTACAGCCATTTATAATTACAAAACTACACTGCATGTACACGTACCTTTAGGTGATATGGTTATGGGATTGACCCAGGAAGGAGGTAATTGAAAATGATCCTTTCCAGCCTTTTGCTCCTCTTCCTCCTGTTAACAAAAAAATTTAATGCCATTAACCTAAAATTACAAGTACTCCTATTACAAATGTAGTGTACATGTACATGTATACATACATGTATACTCTACATGTCTCTTCTCTCTCTCTCTCTCTCTCTCTTACTTCTTCATGATCTTCCTCTAATGCCATTTCTTCATCAGGTAGCAGCAACTGCTTGTCAATGCTAGGGAAGAAATACTCCCACCTTGCTGCATCCCCAAGATCATACACAAGATTCTTAACGCCCTGAGAGCAGTCCTGCATATTTACCCAATAGTTCCTGTGGTTCCAGAGTGTCTCAATGCCAAGGTAGAGAGGTGAGTCCAGTGGGTGTGTCTCTCCAGTGGTGGGCTCTATGAAGAAGCTGTGAGCCACCTCCCTCTTCCCAGAGAGGACAAGTACCCATGAGTGATATCGTAGACCATAGAACTTATCAGGAGGAGGTTTCTCCAGTTCCTGAATGATGATTAGTGTGAATAATTAGTAAACATGACATGTACATGTACATGTCATGTACATTCATGTCATGAACTCCAAAGTCACTCCAAATTTTTGTTACTTTCTGATCTAAGCTTAATATGGAAACTACATGTAGTATGCTTGAGCTGATTCCAACAACAAATTCTAAAGTTACATGTACAAGCATTTTTTAAAATGTAGCAAATTGGCTCCATGTAAAATCACCTCAATTTTTATTAAATTTTCTGATACACATGTACAAAGTACATGAATGCATGTACCGTAATTTTCCTTTTTTTCGTTGTGGAAATATTTTCGTATGGTCCTAAATTGACGAAAATATTTCAATCGAAAATTTTTGAGCAACCAAAATTTGTGACCTAATTCATCAAAGAAAGACTAAGGTACGGCCTGATAAGTAGGTATCTTCTTGCAGCTCTAACCTTGCTCTATCCACTGGTGCTTGCTGTACTTCAATCAGTTGCTTCACTACTGAGTTATAAAATAAAACGGTCCACCATGTGACAAAAGTAGCCATTTAATGTTTCCGTTTATTATCCGTAAATTGGTCATTGCTGCATCTCCAGTACTATCCGTATACTAGTAATGTCGGGGGGAACAGCCAGGTCAAGAATCTCTTATCTCAAGAATTATAAACACTACTATAGCGGCCTTGTTACCAGTAGGTAAAGGACAAGGTATGTGCAAGAGAAGCTAAATTTTCAGACTGTAAAAATTTTCGTACACTATGAGAAGACGAAAATATTTCCACTTGAATTTTTCTGAAACGAAAAATTTTTGTACGAAAAAAAGGCAAATTACGGTACATGTACATTGTATGTAGAAAGTTTGAGCTGTTTCCAACAAGTTACATGTACAATCTTAAAAATAAACTAAGGAAAAAGCATGGTTCTGACTTCTGATGCCACAATACATTACACTACATAAAGTATCAGCATTACATGTACTATGATGATCATGATTTGGTTCTTACAGCAATCCTTGCCTCCTCTTCTTCTTTCTTCTTCTTCTCCTCAGCAGCTATTTTGTCCTTCTCCTTTTGATCTTGTAGCTTGAGGAATTGACTGCTCAGGTCTTTAGGAGGTCGTACAGCATACTTGGCTTTCTCCTTAGTAGCACTTGGTGGCTCTTCCTATGAACAATGTGAGCATCAAACACATTATGTCATGTACCAATGTACCACTGTACATGTAGTTAAAAATAATGCACTCAAAAATTGCTATTACATATACAGTACATGCACATGTATAAATGCACATGTATATACTGTACTGTACATGCACATGTACAATATGCTATACCGTATAGCACAAAATTTTCAAGGAATATAAATTTCATGGATTTTGTGATTTTCTAAAAATTCATAAAAATTACTTCTGTGAAATCAAATTATTATGGTATAATTAGATGGCAGACGGCATAAATTTTGCAAATTTGTGAAATTTATAGTCTTTGAAAATTTTGCACTATACGGTATCATGATAACTAGTTAACTACTCTTCCCCCTTTGAGGTTCCAGAGGATAGCAATATTACACGTACATATTACATGTATATGTAGTCTGCTTGAAAGAAATGATTACAATAAAATGGTCCTACCTCTTGTACGTTCATTAGCTGTGGGCATGGTTTCCTTGTTTGATCCAATAGTGTGATTTCTCTTGTTGCATAGCCACACACACAGTATGCATCATATCCAGCCCCAATGAGTAATGAGGCTAGGACTATTGAATAATCAAAACAGTTCCCTTTCTGACTTGATAGTACTTGTGTTGGGGAAACAATCTTTTCAGGCTAGAGAGAAAAATTAAATTAAAATTAAATAATAAATATTAATAGACAACATTATTAACAATGATTACACAATTAAAATGTCACAGAATTAAGAGCTCATACACACATTAATATAGTCTCTTGTCTTAATTTCTCAAGGAACATGGTCCAAGTAGGCGAATTAGAGCAGTAGCTGGTAGTGATTTTAATGTACTACAAGCAAAGGTTGGTGTGCATGAAAATCATCAAGGTATCCATGTGCAGTAGCTAATTTTAAATGTACATGTACATGCATGTGCAATATAGTATACATGTACTATGAGTGTACATGAATGTACATGTAATGTACATGCAGTTACCAGTTCATTGGGTATGCTCAGTGTGACATAGGAGAGATAATCAGACACAAACTCACTGCAGCCATCATAATCATACAGTTCCTTGTATGGGAGTTGAGTTGGTCTCAGTGTAGTGCAGATAAATTTCTACAAATAAAAGTTATACAAAAGTAGTAGCTCTGTTTTAATTCAAATTTATTACAGTACACATTCCAATTTTTCTACACTAGGAACATTGAACTCTTTCAGTAGTTGGTACTAATGTTTAAATACTTTTTGAATGTACATGTACATGAAACTGTAGGCTATTTCTGGCTGACTTGGTGAATCCATTAGTCACAGTAATGCAGTTAGTAAGTTTTTAAAAGGACTAGAATCAGTTTTACCAATGCACAAAGCAAACATGCTCCAACTGAACTTTACATAGTACGATAGTAGCACTATTATGATCAATAAGTGTAATAAATTATTATATCCAAAGCTCTTTCTCACTTCAACTCCGTTCTCATTAGGTGGTTTCAATAAAAGAGGCTTCCTGTCACCGTACAACTGTCGAAACTGACGCTGAAAGTTTTCAGCATAAGCAATCAATAGCTTCTCCTTCTTGGATTGGCTAAAGTAAGAGGAAGAGGAACTCCTACGATACACAGAAAAAGCATCAATTAGTATAAAACCAAACTGCTTTATTACTTGAGAGACTGGTCTATCTGTTTGGGAGTTTTCAAGTTAATTTGGCCCAATGCCTCCTTTAGACTCTCCATTTTCTCGTTACTATGACGACCAATTTTTAACCCCACAACAACCACACCTTTTAATTAATAATAATTATTATAATTTTTTGTTAAAACCATTGAATTTTAAAACATCAATTAAAATTTAAAAGCACCAATAATTACACAAACATCAACATGAACATAACATAACATATAGAACGGATTTTAATTATAGTTTGTGTGGACATTGTGTCACAGCAAGTAATAAGAATTAGAGCGAAGGGAGAATGAAGAGGATTAGTAAGCTAGGATTTTGGCCTGATAAGAAGATAATAACGATATTCATTACTTAATGTCATCTCACAGTCCAGTGACCTCTTCATTCCCGGGGTTAGCTGCCGAAGGAGCTGCAGTAGTAGAAACTTTTTTTTTCCGAAACAACGATATCTGATTGACTTGCTCACCTACAAATGATAGACATGTGCAAAATGAAGAATATCTACAATACAAGCATTTACATGTACATGTACATGTATGTGTAGAGTGTATCGGATATTGTCCATAATACATGTACAAATGATAGATTCAGTTATGTACATGTACAATGTAGTATTGAATGTACACATTATGACTACATCATCTCTACATGTATACCAGTATACATGTACATGTACATGTACATCAATACTATAAAGTGCAGAGGACAGGTATTCAATACAATAAAAACTCTGTACTTACCATCAGGAGTGTACATGTCACACTTGAGTACATCCTCACGGAAATTCTTAGATGAAGGCAAGGCTTTATCTGTTGTTATAGAAACAGGTGGTAGCTCCCTGTAATAGTAACAATAAGTTAACATACATGCTAAGTGAGCATACTCGGGCCCTCCTTTCTCAAGCCTCTTCTTCTTTACTTCTTCATCAAACTGATTGAGCTCATCAACACATCTTGATATCATAGCATCCATCATTGGAGCCTAAACAATTGATAATTACAACACATGTACATTGTGGATGTACATGTATTAATCAAAATTATATTTTCATATGCATAATTATGTACGTGTATATGTATTTTCATATGCAAAACCAGGGTTTTCCATAAAGCATGCTAAGTGAACTAAACAGCATGAGCTTCATGAGCTGAAAAGCAGTAAAGTACATGTACATGGTTTTCAAAAAAAATAATTTTGGTTAGAATCAGTTCAAGCTTGCTACATGTACAAAATTCTCTCCTAATAATTTTTGGCAAAATATGGCCAAGTACAGGGACTTTGGCTTAATTTTTGAGCAGCTTGACAATCCACTGACTAGAACCTGCATGAGCAGTTTGAGCACTATGCAAAACCCTGTGGAAAACACTAACTGTTTGGCAGAATACATGTAAATTAAATACATGTATACATGTATATGCATGTGATAAGGACATGAGGTTAATCTCACTTGTCTTGAAAATACTTGTACTCTTTTAGCAACTTTCTGTGAGGCATGGAATGAGTCAAACTCAAGCCAGAGCGATGAATAAAAGTTCTCTCCTTGCTCCGTTGCTGGCTGGAACTCCCAGCAAAACATATCATACGATAAATAAAGGAGGATCTCCTAAATAGAATCATCCATTTTAAAACTATTATATACAGTGTACATTCACAGTACATTGTGCATGTACACTGCACAGCAGAACATTAAGTGCTATACAATAATGTTTTTGGACAAAATTGATCATCAATTAAAATTCTCTACAATGACAGCTAGTACATGTGTATAATAAAAAGTTACATGTACAAACATGAGTATAATACATGTACATGTACATGTACAGTAAACTACATGTACATTGTACATGTATAATGGTCTTACTCTTGGTTGAGTGTCAGTAAACAAGTGGATACATTCAGGATTGATGGCAACAACAACATTTCTATCAGAGAGAGACAGGATCTGCTTTCGCTCAATTTGACCACGAAACATCACACAGCTGTGAAAAAGAAAGTAACAATTTTAAAAAATTGATTCTAAAATTCCAATTTTTACATGTACATGCACATGTATGCAAAAAGTCACTCAGACTCAAAGCCATTTTTTTAAATGCCTTGTGGGTACAAGGTCTTTGACAAAATTTCTGGAAAATGACCATCAAAATACAAAATTTGCAAATTTCCTTACCCAATTTAATAGCCATACATTAATTACTATTAGTACTATACATACATGTACCGGTACATGTACATGTACATGTACATTAATATAATACATGTACATGTATATCTCAACTGAGTTTGACCCAAAAAAATTGGAATAACTTCTTATAAGAATGTGGGATAAAGATGAAACTTTCACAGGTTCTTAGTCGCCCAATGCCACCACAGGATCTCAGGTCTTGGATCTCTCAGCCCTTGGGAACCCTGAGAACCAGGTTCTCCCTATAAACCCAATGGCATTATATCAAAATGACATTTTATGACAATTTGTCTTCTGATAGTGATGGCTTTCATGAAGAGTAGTTGACTCTAGCTGTCCAGCAGTTATTGTACTGCTTATCAAAAAAACAAAACCCATTTACGTGTGAAATACAGGCCAACCACACAGCTGAAAATATCGGCCATGCTTCTATGAATATTATTATTATTGTGTGCTATAGTTACATCATGAATGATGTCAATATTGTACAATAGATGTAGTGTGATGTCACTATTATACTTACCCATAATAAGGTTTGATCCAGCACCTTTGAAGATAAAGTAATTTCAACTGCAAGTCGATATCCAGCCATTGCTTCTTCTCCTCCTCAGTTCCAAGACTATTAGCAACTGCACTCGTTTCAACATCAACTGATGCATCAATCCTCTTCTTTGACTCACTGCTCACCTAATGATACATACATCTACAGTCAGGGCCGCCAATAGGCTACAAGGGGCCCAGGGCAAAAGCTTTGATGGGGCCCCTACTAATACAAATGGCCCCCCTTATTGATAACAGTAATTAACAACATGGCCCAGCAAGAGCTACCTTTAAAGAGTTATCATAATTCATTATTATTTTTTGTAAAAAACTATGCATACTTTACTACTGACCTGGGGCTTGGGGGCCACCTTTGATTGAGGGCCCTGGGCAAAATGCCCCACCTGCCCCCCTATTGGCAGCCCTAGGAACATGCGTGTTAAAGACACTGCATGAGAATTAATGTTCTTAATTATAATTATAGAGCAAAGTTCTGAGCCAAGGTTGTACATGTACAAGCGCATGATATGATGAGATTAATACATATACCACAAGTAGTAAATGTACAGTACATGTAAATTAATTGATAGCAAGTGCAATATGCACATGAACTAAACTCTAGTTATGCATTTATAATGTTAATAATTATCATTCACATTGTACATGTATATGTACTGTACATGTACAAGATGGAGTTTGGAGAGCAGGTTACATGTACATGTGTAAGACAGTTTACTTTAAGCCATATTGATTCATATTTAGTGACAAGGTCATTCTCTATTCCAGTGCTCTTTGATCCTTTCCCTAATAATTTATTCTTTACTCCGCCAGTTGCAGGAACAAGATGGGGAGGGAAATACTGGCTTAAGGACGACCTATTGAACAAAATAATAGACATTTAATCATGTACTGTAACTATTGATTACTATTAATATTTTTATTATTCTGTAATGCATACACAAAGGATTCTCTACAGGATTTTGGCACCATACATGTACATGTACTTCTTGTCAGTAGGTTTTTAAAGCTTCTCAAAAATCCCATCAAACACTCTGTACTAAAATTTCAAAGTTGCTTCAAAAGCATATGGTACTGCTTGCCAGCTCATAATCCTGATCTTTAGCTCACTTAGCATGCTTTGTATAAAACCCTGCAAACATGTACATGTACCTCTTATTAAAAAGAGACAAAGCAATTATTTGAAAATCACTAATAATAAATAATTACTTAAAGCTCTGAGGGGTGTGCTGCTCCTTGTTGTACTCCTTGTTCTCAATGGCACATTGAATGGAGGCCAGCTCAATCAGTTCCTCTTTAGATAAAGGATAGCGACCACTAATGACATTGAGTCTTGCCTATAATAATAATAATAATAATAATAATAATAATAATAATAATAATAATAATAATGATAATAATAATAATGATAAAATAGTTCATTCTAGTAATGATTTATTGTAAGAGTAACCTCATGATAAAGTAGTGTAATGACTTCCTTTGAGTTTTTCTTGGCAATGAGACGTTTCTCTTCTCTCAAAGAAAAGAAAGCATTACGTCTGAACGATAATATAGGCTTATCTATAATGAGAGAAATAAAAATATAACATTAAAATGTACATGTATGCATGTATGCATGTAGTACAGTAAACGTACATGTATGCCGGAAACAAGAGAAGATAGATATTAAAATTACAGTGTATGGACCTTATAGTTTGTTTAAAATAATTCCAGCCCACAATGGAATAACGATAATATCAACATCTTATCAAAATGTAAGTACAGTACATGCATACACACTGTACATGAACATTACTTGTGGATGGTAATATTCGTAATAACCATTTCCATTAAAGGCTATGCTTCATGACAATGAAGTTACCATACATGTACATGTACATGTATTGTGTAGGACAATAATTATTTAATTACACGCACTGAATCACAGCAAGCATGAGTACATGTACATGTACATGTACATGTATAAAAATAGAATAGTGTATGTGCACAATATGTTAATGTTTACCTGTACTGCAGACTTCATAAGAAGCAGTAGTGTACTGAGTAAGGAAGTCATTCCATTTCTTGAAGAGTTTGACGGGTACATGATAGCTCTTGAGCTGTAGATCTGAGAACGAGGGAAGAGTTATTAGAGAGAGGGAAGGAGAAGGATAAATAAATATGTAATGTATAAAGATAATAAAGTGACAAAGTAAAAGAAAACATAAATACGTTATATATACGTGCACATGTAACACAAACACTATTACCTAAAATCCTGTACATGTACATGTATGTGTGCAAGGAATATACTTACGTAAATGCTGAGATATCATCCATACACTAAACACGTTCTTTGTCTCTTCGGGAAGGTTCAACTGACTGACCATAGCAGACACTATCTCACCGGCAGTCGTAAACTTACCAGTACTGAACTGTATTGACACTTGCTCTTCAAGACACGTGTAAATGCGCAGGGTGATTGCTGAAGAGAAAGAATCATGCAAATCATGTCTTTAAAAGGTTATCCTTACGTTTGACTGGAGCCATTAGTTTAGACTGGGATTGATCACTATCAGTTGATGGAAGGCCCTCAATCACGTCCGCTATACTGAACTTGACTCCTCTAGTTGGCGTCTTAGCCTCTTCTTCATCCCCTTCCTCTTTTGTCGGTGCTAGTTCTTGAGGAGGACCATCTGTACTAGGGTGGCTATCCTCGGGTAAGACTTCTATTGTCGTTTCTTGTTGAATCCCCTCCAACACAGCTGCCATTGTTAAAAATGATCAGACACGCCCATTAATAACGCCATTATATTCAGCCACTCCTACTATGAATAATAAGTAACTTTTTTCTCTGCAAAAAAATAATCTTCCAAAAATATTTTGCATGAAGCATGCATATGTATGCATGTACAATGTATGTGCATGTATGTGTGTACATACATATGCATGTATTATGTTGTAGATGGCACAAGCATACTTTCAAATCTATTTACACAACAAATAACACCTAAATATCATGCACCAGCTCAGTCAGTGGCTGTCAGTGTCTAGTAAGGGTTCACGAAGTTCACTGTAATCTGTCTTTACAACAGTTGTGGTCACACTTTCTGGTTCTATATCATCATCATTAACTATAGGATTCTTCAAAACTAACATCCGACTCTTTCGAGCCTTTTGAAAGCAATCTCTTATCCATTGAAGATTATAAACATGATATGCAAGTATTCCCAAAAAACCTATGAAACTTAGCGACAGAATAACAGCTTCTCCTATGACAGCTTCTTCAACTTGCAATTGAATGTTGTTTGAATAATCATCATCTAAAACAAAGACTAGACCGATGAGACATAAAAGATAGCATATGTCAAGGTTATGAAGCTTGGAGTTTTTATAAACGGAGCGAAAACTCAGTATAAGTATGAGAATTGATGTTACTATCATCATTGTGAATGCTGGAATGCTAGGACCTTCTGAAATTGCAAATGCAATTGCAAGTACAATTCTTACTAGTACCAAAAGACCAGGCCAAATACGAAAATAATCTTTATGAGGTCCAGCATAAGCATCAAAGAATGGTTTCAATTTCAAATAAAATGTTGTACCAAATGACCATTTTGATCTACACAGCTCCCAGAGTGGAAAGAAGAGCAGAAACAATGTATAAGGTACAAATAGGATTATAATCATTGACAATGCTGTGATGAAAAGAGGTAAGTGACAGCCAGTGCAGTACTGCACTCTGGGATTATTGTACCATACTATGTGAGAGCAAACCCTTGAATACGAAAAAATATCAACAATATTACGAAGTAATTTAGTATACGAGAGAAGGATTAGTGTGCATAAAACAGGGACAGCATTATTTCCTATTAGCCGAGATAGTCTGGAAAACTTGCGGCTCAGAAAAATGATGATTAATATGAGAAACCAGACATAGAAAGGAAAAATAAACTGCAGGCCACTCTTAACACAGGCATTCATTCCTGCAAAGAAACAAGTCTCAATCCCTAAGTCTAGATTTACCCATGAAATAAACTGACTTAATACAGGGATATCATTAAGACCAATGAACAGTGGTTGATACATCTTGACCACATTTGCAAAGAAAAGGAATCCATTGATGACACCAACAGTGACTGTCAAATTCATTAAAATTATAAAAATGACTAGCACTACTCCAGCCAAGGCAAAAACAGCAGTTAAGGCAATATAGCCATTACTGCAGTTTTTGCACCTATTGGAGCCTAGCATAAGACCCAGCCCTTGAGCACACTCACCACAATATATCCCAGTCCTATTGAGACCACACTGCTCATCAGAGTCATTAAGGTAGAGGTTTATGGTAGGAAACTTACAGTACTCACAAAATTGAGAGATGACTGTGCAATTGTTATCAGTCATCCCAATCCAGGTGAGTCCAGATCTTGTAAAAGTTCCATTCAGTTCATTGCATGTAACACTGGCATCATTCCTCCAGTCAAAATCACATTCACATTTCTGGGTTTTGTTTGAGAGATGGTAACCAAGTGGACATTGCTCTATTGTGACAAACAAATATTTAGGAGCAGCATCAAAATTAGTTTCACTATTACTGACAGAGAGAACTAATTCAAGTGTTGTATATGAGCTGGTATCAACAGTCTGTAATATTGTTGTGCATTCAGCCTTGGCCAGTACATGGGCAGCTGAGTTAAGCTCCACAATACCAGTTGTAGCATTGTCATTCACACCACCAGTTACCACAACTGATATGTTAAGAGGATTTCCAGGAAATACAGAAGCATATGAAACAGTATCATCACACTGTGGAATGTCATTAAAACAGAAACAGACATCTCGTGCATCTGAAGTGATGAGAGAGTTACCAGGTTGGTTTTCAATTGTGCTCACATCATAAATATTGAAATCATTGTCACCATTAATCTGATTAGAAACATTACAGTAAACATTACAATGACTTGTAGTTCCACCATAAATAATGCTACCAACTCTAGCAGTATTGTTTTTGAAGAAGAAGTACTGACTCCTCTGCACATAAGAGTCTTGGAGTTGAAAGAAACAGTAACCAAGGATTAAATCATTATAATAACTACTATTAAAGATTTCAAGTACTATTTGAGAAATAAAAACAGCACCGCCAGCTTGATTTGCATGATTATTAGTAAAGTTGAGCATTGAATCATGCTTCAAGAGAAGGAATGAGTTGCCATACATAGCCACCCCACCACCACTATGGCCAGAATTACCAACGAAATGATTTGCTCCCCGAAAAGTTACTAATGAATTAAAAATAAACAAACCACTTCCTTGGTTGCCAATGAACCAACAATCGGTAAATTTAATGCTTGAGACAAATATTAGAGCGACTGCTGATTGAAATGTTTCTTTAAATTCAAGTCTATTCTGTGAAAGTGATCTACCCATAACAATCTTGTTTTCTCTAATTGTTACATTAGTCAAACTTATGTTCAATACGAACTGATTAAAGCTTTTTTGTTGTCCAATGTAGATTGCACTGCCTAATTGGCCAAAGTTGCTGTATAAAACGGTTGAATTAATATGAATGACTCCATCAGAAAATGAATCCCATACAATAGCAATGGCCTTAGGACTAGAAGCAGTTACGAAGCTATTTATAATTGTCATTTGACCAGCTATACTAACAGTCGACTGCAATATGCATCCATTTTGGGTCAGAATAATTCCACCAATGCCACCATGACTGTATAATGAATCAATTAAGATGTTGTATTTGGTTGTGCTTGCATTTATGTAAATGTTATACGTATGATCATCACTAACCATTGATAATGAGTGAAGAATGACATCCACAAAGTACTGAGATTGATCCAACTTCATTTGTAAGCCAATAGCTATAGTATTATTCCTGGTGCTATTAATGAGAAATGTTGTATTAGAAATAATAAAAGCAGTAGCATTGGTACGAATAAAATTGAGGCTGGTGTCGTGAGCAGTGTAGTTAATGGAGCTTGATTCAAGTGATGTCACTTGAAATGTTGATCCACTGATTGTAACGTTAAAAGTATTTTCCAATAGAAGTGCACTTCCATTAGTGAAAAATGAAAAATTGTTTATCGTCAAATTGGTAACATGAGAAAATGAAACAAGTGATCCATTGTAACTCGAACAATTTTTAATTTCAATGTTAGATATTACAATATTATCACACGAGTAGAACAATATAAACACTGTAAAGGCCTCAGAAGAACAAACTAGCTGTGGTGAAGATCCAATACCTTTAATTGTGAGGCCAGTGACATTAGCAATAGTGATGGGTTCTTGCAATTGGTGTAATCCAGGTTTGAAACAAAGTAGAGTGTTGTTGAGGCTAATATTTGCTGCTACATAATAACGAAGATTGTGACAGGACTCGCAACTGGGATCATCTGACACGTAGTAATCACAGCCACTGGAGGAAGCTGTTAAGAAACAAGAAAACAGGAAGGAGAGCAGCAACATTGTTTGCATCTTTAAAACGTAAAGGGAGTGGCTCGATTATCTACGCCCACGCAAAACCACACCTACCAGCCATGATTTCACTGATTTCAGCTCTAGGTGAAAGGAGAGAGGTGACAGGGACTGATGACATTATAACATTACAAAATAGTAAAAGTAGATTCCTCTAAACTATAATTCCATACACATTGCACTCCACTCTGAATGTGTACATACAATATTTATCTGCTGTTCAATGATTTTGTATGGCAATATCAATAATTGACCCCAATAGTGAGCCCAATAGCCAATACAGTAGTTTACTAACAAATCAGAAATTATGATTAATTATAAATTATAATTGGATGTAAAAAGGTGAAGTTCATAGATTAGATGTATACTAAATTACAATATATTTACAATTATGATTATATGGAAATTTTGTTTTGTTCTGATGGTTATGGTAAACCTTTAAAATGTAACATTCCTTTAAACAATAACATGATCACAATGTTTATGGGACAACAAATCATATGTAGTCACTATCAGAATCTACAGTTTCTTCGATTTCACAACTTTCTCTACTTTGATACACCTCATTTTCCACCACTGAAACATTCTGTGTTGATTGAGCCAATGAACATAGCTCTAAATAAAGCTCAGCACTATTTCTATACATATTATTATGCAAATTATATAATTGAAATTGCTGTATAGTTTACCTAGCATCATTGTGCTCACCAGAAGTTATGTGAGTGTCACTAGTGATACAACAAATAAGATAAATTAGACTTAGTGCTTTATTGCATAATACTTTTTCTCTCTTGTATTGAATTTGAAGTGCTTCTTTTGGCGGATTAAGGACCAAAAACAGTCAGGTATTAGGTCATTTGATCTATAGCAATAATTTAGGAGGTTTTTTATAGCTGTTGAATTTACCTTAATATGAAAAATAGAGCCATTAGACCAAAAATAATTATCACAGCTAAAGCAATAATGGCTGCAGCACCAATCAGTGATATTTTACTGCCCTCTTCTGTAATAATGATAATAGATATTTTGTGGTCACAAAATTAGATTATTCCCAACTCATCTACACCTCATATTCAACTACACCTATGCCTATACACCTCCACTATGATACAGGTATGTCTGAAAACATGTATATAATGCCCCACAACTATACTAGTCTATAGATATTTCTGAGCTTAATCCTCAGAAGTGATTCAAAATGACTAACATTATCATCATCTAACCCTCAATTCTCATAAAATTTACCTGAAGTCATTCCATTAGCCAGTCCTCCAAGAAATAAGACAATAATAATTTTATCAGAGATCATAACTAAAGAACATTGAGTTATCTACAAGTTCTTCCTTTCTAGTTGTTATTAAATGACACAAAAACATTATCTTATGTACACAATGTGACCTAATGTATACGTAGATCACACACATGTATGTACAAACAGGAAAAAGTATTATAAACAATGATTCATTTAAAAATATTAATGTACATTTAAACTACTTGACACAGGAGAGAGGCCGACTGGCCATGTAATGATTGTAAAAAGTTAGACTAGATCACGCTAAAAAAATCTTAAGTAGACGTAACAATTGTTTATTGTCCTTGTTCTTTTACTTCTCCATATAAAGAATTAGGAATATAACCTATTATAGCACTAACAGCAAATAGAAATTTTTGAATCACATAGCATGATATAATGTAACATACCTTGTTTGGTATCAGTTGATGGTGCAGGTAATACAGATGATTCAATAACTCTCCTATACAAGGACGTGTTTTTATAATAATTACTGTACATATGTGTGTTGCATTTTGTACCTTTCACAGTTATTGCCAGTGAATCCTTCAGGACAAAGACAGGTATAATTTGTCACTAAATCCACACAGGTACCATTGTTTAGGCAGGGATAAGGTATACAAGCATTGACAAATAGCTCACAGTTAAGTTCCTAAGGGTACGTTAAGTAATACTTTATATTATAAATATGTGTAAATATCCATAGATAATAGAGTAAATGAAAGGGATTGGAAACGGGGCGTAGCAACAGGAAATGCGGGTTGGGTTACCACGTGACAACCATCAGTGTTTTGATTGATTTCCTATCTCCTCCATTGGTGAAGTTGCTCTGGCAGGATTTCGAAGGAAATTTGTGCTGTTCCAGGATAGCGCTTGCTTTTGATATATAGCCTATTCCACATAGAATTTTTAGAGCTACCTGTAGCAAGGTTTTTATCTCCAAAAAGCGATTTTGCGACCAGTTAGAGGTACACAAAGTCGCCTGTTTTTGAAACACTTTATCGTTCGTAAAACACTCAAGCTTCGTTGTATCAATATGCAAGTTAGCTCATTCCATAGGAGATTTCAAGCTCTTTAAAATGGTTATACTTATTCGTAGCTCAAGAACAAAATGAGTCTCTCAGAGGGGGAAAAGATGGTATTTCTAGTTAAAGAGTGACGCGGCTACTAACACATGCATTGATTTACTGAACAAAAAATATTAATAAAAAGCATAAACACTGGTTAGTATTGTGTGTGAGTTTTGTTTGCATAAATTGTATTCTCTTGGAGTATT